TGGCAACACAGTACAGCAGCATGACAATGGTGAAACAGAAACATGGTGATGAAGTGAGGCAAGAATTGTGACAGGATGTTGCTGCATTATGGACTCTTTGCATCGACACAATCATCCGTTTCCAGCAGGAAATCACAGAGCTCGGGAGGCATCGTTGTGTCCAGCTCATCATCTGAAACCTCTGTAACCAAACTGGAAGGGACCAGCCCTCTCGTGCCATCCGTCAGCTCTCCCAGAAACCAGCCGTCCTCATCCACATCTCCAAAGACATAAACGTGCTGTCCGGCGGTCAGAGGAAGCTCGCTTTCTGGGTCCTCATTAGAACCCTCAGAAGGACGGTAGCTGTGGCGAGCTAAGAATCTTCGAACTCGTCCTGGGGAACAGAGGGTGAAGGGCAAATGCTCTGCCACTGATCCTCCACTCTCACTTTCAGGGCCATCCTCTGACAGGAAGCAGCACTCACCACTGTTCCCACGGACCTTTTTCATGGCTTGGAGTTCACGCTCCAGGTCTTCCAGACGAGTCTGAACACCTCTGGCCTCTGGGATGGCAGAACGGAACGGACTGAAACTATTGCTGAGGTTCTTGTTTGCTTGGGCAAGGATCTCTCTCGTTGCCTCTCCACTCTCCACTTCATCTCCAGCTGGAACTCCCTCCCAGCCGGTGTCAGGATGAGCTCGCTCTGCTGCTCTCTCTCTCCTCTTGCACACACTGAAAATGAGTTTCAGAAAGCCCTACTCACTGACAGGAAATAAGGGCAAACTTGGAAGACCTTGCGACATAAATCGTGACAGCGTACTGCCAGCAGCTGATTCGGCTGTCCAGGATCCTGGCACCACAAATACTTCATTGCCAAATGCAGCAATGAAATGGTTGGGGGAAAAAGACAACTCACAGGCATTTGTTCCACGTCTGCGACACAGCGATGCAGGCCAGCACCAGCGCAGACAGCAGCACAGCTGAGAGCAGCACCATCACTGCCACGTGGCGCTGCCGCACAGATCTGCCAACAGCAGCCTTTGTGCTTTTCCCTGCATTCAGCCCTGGAAGAAACGACAACGTCCCACCTTACTTTCACCTCATTGCCCTCGGGCCGCTTCATTCCCAAAAGGACAAAGCTCACAGCCCTATGGGAACTGGGAGCGGTGAGAGGTGAGCAGCATCACGCAGGCCTTCTCTGGCACACAGCTGGAACAACTCTGCACACCCCGCTGAGCTCAGCCATTTTTAGAGAGCCGCTCCTGGCCTCTTTTACAACACGTGCTCTGCGCTCACACGCTCGGGTTCGGCTGCTGACCTGATGTGCGAGAGCAGGCAGGCAGCGCCTGCTGGCACCCAGTGACTCTGGTGACACTGGACAGAAATCTCCTGGCATGCCAGTGGTTTGCGCTGCCTGTGTTCGTCCCTTTAGAAAGACATAGGACAGTCGGATGAGATGTGTTCTCACATCGCACACCTGAGCTGACCCAACCTCGAGCTCAGGCCAAGTCTGCTGGCCTCCGCCCCCCCAAATCCACCTGCGACCTCCTCTGCTGCCACGGGCATTTGGGCACTCCCACGAATTGCAGGGTGCCTACCCTCTCACACCTCCTGAGGAATCAACTCCCAAGCAAGGCCCTCACACGCTGTGCTGTGAGCATCACCAACCATCACATTCCACCATCACAGCCAGGCACCTTGCAGGCTGAAATTCAAGCTCCAATAGGAACACCTCCAGAATCGACATCTGCACATGGTTTCCAGCATTAGCAAAGGCAGCCATCCCTCCTCGGGATGCTCATCCTGCCTTGAACTAGCCCAGCTGCAGGGAGGGCTTTGTATTAACAGAATCGCCGCACTTCACATTTGCTGCCATCTGGGTCTCCACAAAGCAGCTCTGACAAGTAATGGTCGTGCTGGGGGGAGCAGCTGCCCCTGGGTCTCAGCTGGATGCAGAAGTGGCAGCAGACCATCTCTGGTGCTCCCCAGTGCCTGCAAGGCATCGTGTGGAACAGCACTGCAGCACGGCTCTGAGCAATGCCCTCCTGCTGTGCAGGCTGCACACGGACATCAGGCCTCAGCTTCCCGAGTCTCAGTGAACAGACTGAAGTATACCCACCAGGAGCTGCCACTTCCATTTCCTTCAGCAGCTCTCTCGGATGGTAAGACCCCTGGGAGGACTTTCCTCTGTTGGATTCATCCTTTCCCCGTTCCAGACCTGCACGGAACACATGAAGTTAAATGCCATGAGCACGAGGTTTTGAAGACCATTGCTGAGTCAGCGCCATCGGTAAAACAAACCACCACCCCTGGGCATCCACCTGGGCTCCAGCGCAGGAACGAACCAGCAACTGAGTAAAGCCCTCCCTGGGGGCACTTCTGCAAGCCATGAAAGCCATTCAGTCATGCATAACAGCATCGCTGAACAGTGGAGCGTACGGGGGAAGCAGTGCCATGAAGTGGCACCGAAGCGGGCAGTGAGAGCTCTCCAAGGAATTACAGAGCCGTGACTTACCCATGCCATCTGCCCGGGTTTCGGTCTCAGAGCTCAGAGGGGAAGCTGGATCACCTCCTCCACTCACACCTGCAAACAAACGCAGCACAGAGCAACTCTAACTAAACATCCTCCCAATCGGAACGACGTGGGATGCAATTAAAGCAGGGGATTCCTTCGTGACACTCCTCTCTCCCTTCCACACAGGAGCACCTCGGAAGCAGTTCCCAGGTACGCGCAGGGGCACCGCGATCCTACAGAACTTACACCGCGTGGGGCTGCCCAGAGGAACGCCCTCCTGGAGCTCAGCCCT